GAAACGTTGTGTTCTCTTTCTTCTTTTTTTCAGCATGGAATAAACCTATTACTTGTTCCTTTGCAGCCTACGCATGCTGACGCAGCTACCCACCTGAACATTTTCATATCTACCCATACAGACAAAAAACTGAAAAATGATTCTATGACTCCTCTAATGCTCATTGTGGAGAAAGAAACATATACTGAACAGTGCCTTGAAAAAGTATGCAGACCATTGCAGTTTTAACATTTTCTTTAAAGCTTGCAGTCATGACACTAGTAGTAATTAAGTAGTGCAGTGCAGTACATATTTGCTATATAGACAATTTACACATTCAGATCAAAATAAAAACGTAAACAGATATCAATATGAAAATTAAATGTAAAAGTCATGATTGCAATGATTGCATAAATATCCAAATCCTTTGTTGTGGTAAATCTAAATTACTTTAGGTACATTTAATTACCTTCAAAACTCACATAATTAGTTGAATATCCTCTGTTTATGGATTACATGATTTCATAATAAAAGCACCTGTCCCTGTGATTAATTTTAAGCATTTTAAGCATAAAGAAAAAGGAGCTTTCAAAACAAGCCATTGAGAAGCACAGGCCAGATGAAGGCTACAAAACATAGAAGGCTCTGAATATCCATGTAAACAGTCTACTTAATTATCGAGAAATGGAAGGTGCATCATACCACTCAAACACTTCCTAGATCAGGCTGTTCCTCCAAGCAGAGCAGCCGGTCAACCAACAACAACTTTAAAAAAGTCACAGAGCTCAATGGCTGAAGTAAAAAAAAATCTCCCAGTCTCTCCACGTAGCTGGCCTGTATGCAATGAAGCTTGTGATTCATCTTGCAAAACATGTGGTAAAAGGTGTTGTGATCAGATGAGACCAAACTGGAAAATGGTCTAAGTACTTAACATTACATTTGACATAAATCTACACAGCACATGGTTCAGTAAACACCATCACTATAATCAGGTCTTGTGGTGGCAGGGTGATGTTATAGTTATGCATCTTATCCTTCTTAGGGACTGGAAATATTAGAATTGACAGTAAAATGCACAAAACAAATTACAGGCAAATATTTTAGAGGAAAATCTGTTATAGTTTTCTAAGGACTTAAAACTAGGGAGAGAACTCTATTTTTAACAGGAAAATGATCCAAAGCTCTTTGCCAAAATTACACTGGAGTGGCATAAGACAGTGTATGTCCCTGAGTGGCACAAAGTCCTGACTTGAATCCTTTTGGGACTTTGTGGAAAGACTTGAAAACTGCTGTCTATAAGCAATCCTCAAGCAACATGAGAGAGCTTGAGGAACTCAGCCAAGAAGAATGGTCAAGAACTGCACCAAACCAGTTTGCAAAGTTAGTAGAGAGACTTACCAAAAATGACCTGCAGGTATAATAGCTGCCTAATTGCCACCATACCATTGAATTCTCGGGTCTAAATACTTATGCAATCAATATATTTCAGTTTTCCCAGTTGAAGTCAGCAACATTCGACACAATAGTCATGGTCTGAATGCTTTTGCAAGGAAATTTAAAATGATAAGTTTTTTTTTCCCCAAATTAGGAGATGATTACAACAAGATCAAAGCTTTTATTAACTACTTCCAGCTTTTATTTTTTTATACTGTTACTAAATTACAAAAATAATACTACTGTATCAAAGATATATTTCTCTACAGTTTATTAACTGTAAATATTGCATCAGCTTTCTCCGTCCTTTCATGTTTAGTCTTTACAGTAAATGTGCCCCACAAATCCTATTAAGTATAAAATTATCTCACCAAAAACGCTGGTTCTCCACAAGGAGAGAAGTCAACAGAAGTCACGCTGACTGGGTTGTATCCACTAGCCTGTGGCTTGTAGAACTTTGGAGGTATTCTCACACCATGTCTTGTTCCATGGTTCACTAGACCCTACAAGTTGGATTTTACATAAAGAACATGATACGTTTTTATACCATAAAGGTGACATGTTTAACAAACAGTGGTGCAGGAGAAAACAAATATTTAAAAAAACAGTATACTCATCAAACCACTCTGACAATGCTACAGAACTACAAAAAATGAATAAATCAAAGATTGTAAAAAATACACATTTAATTAAACTTACAGTAATAAAAGTTACCTTATGCAGTATGTAAATATAACTAAATAATGCATAAAAGAATTGTTTATTATGATTGTGGCTACCTTAAATGAAAAGCCATTTAATCTGTAGCCTGTACAATTAAGCAAACTGCATTGTAATCCAGTGTGAGATGGTCTTTAAAAAGGTGAATGCTTCATGGATCAGCTATTATGTGCTAGAGAAAACTAAAATGTTTATTTTTTATGTTGACTTTTATAAATGATAAGCATATAATAATACATTATTAAAATAATAATAACAAATTTTAAAATAACAAATCACTAATATCAATACACACATTAACATTTTTAATCAATTTTAAGTTACTGTTAGTGTTAATTGTGTTTTTCAGTAAGCTTGCACCAAAGCAGTAATTTGAGTTATCTATAACTGTTTTTATCCTACAATACAACACACATTAGTGAAGCTTTCTGGAAATCTTCTAAACAAAAAAATATTTGTATGCAAGCAGGGTAACTGAATGTATTGCAATATTTCAAAAAGCAAATAATCTTTAATTACTCTGGAATTACATAATCCTTCCACAGGCTAAATATATATATATATATTATCTATTTTCATTGTTTTGCTTTCAGTGCACATTAATTAAAAACATTTTATTTACCATGTCTGTGCCAATGAAGAAGTGATTGGAATCAGAAGGTAAGAACTTCAGCGTCAGTGCCTGCAAGGGACCTACTTGCAGAACATCCCCTAGACTAGATCTAGGGAAATTAAAAGAAAAAATGGCACATTTTTGCCAAACTGCTCAGCCTCATTTTTGTGTTGTTAAATAAGGAGCGGAATGCATTATTAAGGTTTACCTTCTCTTAGGTTTAACACTATATTTGTAAAACAACAGTTACAACACCTTTAAGAGTTTAATTGGAAAAAAAGTGGTTTATTTGACTATAAATGTATACAAATGAGTGTATAATGAAAACACAGTGGAAATGATTCATCAGGATAGTTCTCTTTCCTTTTCGTTCCTTTTCCTTTTTTTCCAGCAATTCTGAGTATATTTAGTATACTGTACGTGTAATTAATACAATTACACATACAGTATACTAAATAGAATTCGGGAGAAGAAACCAAGCCTGTCATTAAGCACTCATTAATTCACATCACAGAGTGTCTTTAAAAACTTGTGATCACAACAAGTCAAACTAAAATGAACAGAAGCAGTTACTGTAGCAATATGTTTTGTAATTGCTAAACTACCATATTACAAATCATATCTAACTGATGACTCAGCCAGGTGTTCCACGTCATGAAATTACTTTTTCCCCATAGATTCATAAAGCTAAAATTCTACTTATTGTACTACAAGATGCAGGTCTCAGTCAAGCTTTGAGCAAATTGTCCAGTAGAAAATAAGAAGGAAAGATGAGTGGAAAGAGTGAAATAATGCAAGAGACTTCTGAACAGATGTATACCTACACATACTATACATTATACATACATGTTAAGTAAAGGAAGATATAAAGAATGTTGCTTATATAAATAATATATTATTACAATAATATATCATCTTTTTTAAACTTCATCAAACAGACTGAATTATGCGTTGTAGAAGGTAAGCTTTTGATGTCCCTGGACAGTCTGCATATGAAACAATCACACTGGTTTAAACATAGGCTTTATGGCTGAGCTAAAATAAATGCTGAGAGTAAAGTACTGTATCTGAAACCAGGTGTGGATTTGTGATACAGGTGGTAAGATGAAAGGTGGAAATACCTCATCCTATGTCCCAGCCTGCAGTTGATATAAGTTAAGAAAAGCACTTCTACTGTATGTATGTACACCATATATGGTGAAGACGTACACAAGCATGCAAATAAGTAAAAGATAACAAAACACATTTTATATTATGGGATCTTACCTATCATTTGTAATTATTGATGAACTGTGTAGTAGTTTTACTTTTCCACCTGGTTTTAGACCTACAGAGGAAACAAAATATCTTTAAGATCAGCATATTTCATTTGTATGTACTGCTTGCCTACTAAATCTTTGATTATATATAGAAGAATCTACAGAAATAACTCTCTCACCTAAATCAGTTTGTGATCCTGCAAGGCTAGCTTTTGGAAGTTCCACAACCACCTAAAAATGCAAAAATATCTTAATAGTATAAATTCTATTTCAACTGTATACTGAAAGTTACAAGTTAATTGCAAACAAATAAATCAAATAATAAATTTGCTCCTAAAGCTACATATTTGGTAGTATATAACTACATCAGTTGTAGACTAAATTGCATGGTCAAAACCATAACTCACCCAAAGATTTAAAACTCCACTGTCATCCAGGGATGCCAACTGAAATGATAGTCCTAATGATTCTGAATTATAAAAACAAAACATGACAGCTCTGATCATAACAGGACAACATCATCCAGCCACTGGAGCATTAAAAAAAGAGAACTTACACTACAGCATTGCTTATCAATATATCAATTCATTTTCAATTCACTTGTCTTATTGAGGGCCGTGGACTAACACAAAGCTAATCATTTTCTGAACTCAATTTAAACATTTTTTACTTAATAAACATGTTTAGCAATGGGTTGCCTTTTCAAATGTGAGTGTGTGGACACTTGGTTCTCCTGTGCTTATATAGACTTATTCGCTGCATTTCTCTGTTCGACAGAGGCCGGCTGGTCTGTCTGGCTGGCCCATGAGGTCGGTAAACGGTCCTTCTGAGACTGGATGCCATTAGACCTCACTCCGAAATAGTTCTGTATGATAGGGATTGTTGGGGTCCTCTGAGGTAAATGGATGTGGTTGCAACATGGGCATGGATCCTGGGCTAGGGCTCCTGAGGGGAGGATGAGTTATATGGGATCGAGTTCAAGGGGGATAGAAAGGCTTAGAAGAAAAAGGAATGTTGATGTTTTGAATTCCAAAAAAAGATCTGATCATAAAAATGCATTATTTATTGACTTGTGCCCTAAGTGTCTGGGACAGGCTTCACATTGACGTAACCCTTACAAGGAATAAATTACTTTCTGACAATGGATAGACGTTATTTGCTGCATAATATTATTTATAAAAGCAACTGGCTTAACCAGCTGAGGAAGATGCAGAAACTATATTTTTAAGAAAAATCTGTGCTCTCAGTTTCTCGATATGGCATAATTTACTAAAATTGTTTGTTGGAATTAAGAATTAAATTTTTAGCTGGATGTAGCTTGAAAAGTATTGTTCCTTCTTTTACAGCACACACATACTGTACATGAGAAACCTAATCGTTCAATTGTAAACCTGTATAAATGTATTTATTTTCCTACATCCTAGTGTTGTGCACGGTACCTTCTTCAGAAGACAGTAGGAAAAATCCTGGACTCTGTCCTTCAGTTACATCGACTTGAACTGGCTCCACAGCCCTTACTTGAGAGAAATGGCCAGATGTTGCAAGGACAGAATCTGCAGATATACACATTTATGAAATTGGAGTAACATTAATACTTGGAAAAGCAGGCAAAAGAAATAATGAAATCAAAGAGCTTAATGGTACTTTAAAATATTCTGGCACAGAATGTATACATATTTAGCGCATTTCAAAAAATACAATGTCAGGTCTTTTGGAAATGTTACATGAATAAACCTATAATTGTTTTTTACAAACTAGTTTCCATCTTATCAATTCTCTGCTCAAAATAAGTACAAATTAAAAGACAAGAGCTTGTAACTGATAAAGTAATACTTTTGTTTTTCTTCTGAAACAATTTAGGATAAAGCATAACAGAAAAAAAACAGTAAGCTGCAAAACAAATATTTGTCTCACTTTGAGATCTACCTTAGCTGGAACTTCTAGGTTAAGAGAGTTTCCACTGATGCTGAGGTACACTATACACATAGAATTGTTCCAAAGAACAATTTGGAGATGGAGTTTCATAAGCTACACTGTATTGTCCACTGGATGCCAATGCTTTAAATGAAAGTAGTGAATCGTCATGTGAAGTGTGAATGCAAAGTCTGTGTTGAAGACTGCATTTCCATAAGTGGAAAACCCAAGTGAAAAGTGAAAGTCTATTTTGGGGTCAATGAAAATATGAACGTTTCGAAATATTTAATACATTTCTGATAAAATCATAAGAAATACAACTTAAATACCTTAAATACTATAAATAAACAAATGCTCTAACAAAGCAATGTTTGTCAAGGCTCTGCAAAATTAACATTTTAGATAGTAGGGCTGCAGGCAAAAGCTTATTTAGTCTGTGCTGTTATCTCCAGACAACTGACAGTTTTCTCCGCGCAGAAATTCTATTTTGCCATAAATAAACATGCAAAAGCATTTTTACCCTAAACAAGCCCTGATTATCCAGTATTTAACTTTCTTCCAGGTTTCTGTTATTTGAAAAGACTCTTTTTTTAGTTTTTGTACATTTAATTTGACAGTCAACTATGATTAAAGTATCTACCTCTATTTCTTTACAGTCATGTTTCTGAACAGCAAAAAAATCCAATAAAGACGCAGAAAGATTATTTATTTTTGTGCAGCACCTGTGTAACTGCAACACTGTAAAAACTGTGGTGATAGCCTATTTTCTTTCTTTGCCTATAAAAACAAACTGAATTCTATGGAGGTTCATGCGGAGAGTTACTTCATTGTGTAAGCTACAAAGAACAAGCTGAAATGTTGTCTTTTAATATTCCTAGTTCTCAGGATGGATTACTTAGTTTTTCTGATTTAGCCAGGTGTTTCCATTTCTACTACCAGTATATTAAGATGCTTCAGCAATGTGCACCATTGTAGATTGTAATTGTTTAATAAAGAAAACATATTGCCACTTAACAAAGAATTTATATCTGTAGATAAAACATACATTGTTTTATCCACAGATATATATTGACTTTACAGATTAAATTTCTAAATGAACTGAATGTGAAATGTGCTCCTTTCCCTTTATTTGATCACGTTTACCAACCAGTGGAAAATGTGGGGAACCGGAGGGTCCAGTCTTGTTCTCCTATTTTCATAGTGTGATGTAAACTAGAGTGCTCCCGCAGATCCCACACAATCACTGAACCATCAGCTGTGCCAGCAAACACCAGTGTGGCTTGACCAGGACTGAAGCAGCAGCACTGAATCTGTCACAACAGATATGTATGATTATTTTGGACAAATATTAGTTTTTGCATGGTATAAATCCACACATAAAGTCAAATAACTTGTGAACTACTCAACAATAACCTGATTACAAGATAAAAAAAAAGAAGAAAAAAGTGCTCGTATCATGATCAAAACATCTTTTGACTATAAGTTTAGATATTACAGGTACAGTATATTGCAAACGTTTTTGTTATACTGCTTAGAATAACATCATTAATCAGAGGCCAACATTTACACACAAAATATTTAAACTTTTCTGCTGAGTTTTACGGGTTAATTAAATGTAATCTTTTAAAAGAACATAACATAGTATAGTATAATAAGACAGATGTTGTAACCAAACTGATTTTATTTCAAAGTAAAACTACCTCTGATTCACATATAAGGACTTTCTGAGGACGTGATGGTTCCCATATGTTCCAAATGCAAACAATACTCTTACTATCCAGCCGAACTGCACCGGAGCTTTTTAAAGGCCTGTGCACAGAGAGCATGACCTGCCTCTGAATCTGCGAGAAGCGTATCAAGCAGACCTCTCGACCTAAAAACCATAGAGAAGATGGAAGATCCAGGTTTGCTTGTGATGTGTAAATGGGAAAAGAAATAACCAATACACATTACTGAACTAAAGACTTAGTTTTGGTATCAAAACATAATTAGAATGCAGTGGAAAGTCTGCTACCACAGGAGAATTTGCATTACCATGCAGGAATGGCAGTTTTGTATTGAGCTGTAAGCTTCCATCACTAAATGACAAACAGTCTTCTTGTGATTTCAGCTTCTTCAAAGAATGTTGTTCGGCTCTGTCTTCTTCTAGCAATACAGCAATCACCTGAAAAAGATGAGGAAGTTTCTAATGCATATATAAACTAAAATATTCTTACATATTTGACTTACTGTAGCAATTGGTCACAACTTAGTGAGAGATTCCTTATCTAAAATACCGGTAAGGATATGATTAAGTAAACTGCATATCTCTATGCAATATCTCTTATATGCAGTTGCTATAAGCCTGAACAATAATATTAAGGCTCTCTACCCAGCCTGGAAACAAAAGTCAATGCAGTCTATCTATTAGATCAGAGATGTAATACAACTTCACTACCATAAGTAAAGACACAAAAAACAATATTACCAGTACTACAAGTAGGTTTACTACTAATATTACAGTCAGTTCAGAATATGCATACACCCATATGATGATATATACAGTATACTGTGGTCTGTGTATACACTGCAGATATGTACATATTTATATATTAAATATTGATATAGACAAGAATATACCACTGTAGCAATTATGATACAAAGTACAGTGTACCTGAGTAGCTGCACGCAAAAAACTGGACAATCGCTTAGAGTCAATACTCAATTTTGTCATAGAACCATTTGAAGACTCATTATTGCTTTTGGAACCTGTTTAAAAACAACATTAAAAATCAATTAAAATGTTATTTGTTTTACACAACTTGTACTTTTTTTACTTCTTAAAACCAGTATATACATAAATCCACAAAAATAAAAGGTCCCCAATACCTTCCATTTGAAAAGAAACAGCTCTCAGTTATTCTGAAGATAACACAATCATTTTCAAGACCAAAAACGTCTTAGCTAGTCTTTGGCCTACACTAGAAAGTTTTCAATGTTGTAGGTACTTGAGATATACAGCCTCAGCTTGTTCAATTCACTTCAACAATACTCTAATGAACAAATGCAGCTCACCCTGCAATTTCCCCAGTATCTATTTATTCCTGATGAGATTTAAAATACTAATTCCATCATATTGCAATCATCTTTCAATAAATCAAGCAGGTATTTTACTGCTCTCAGCTTTTCTTAGTAAACGTTGTCAAGTTCAACCAATAAATGTTCAATTGGATTGAGGCCAAGAAATTGAGATGAGAACATTTCGACTAGAGTTAACATTTTTATTTAGATATGTGTCTTTGGTTCATCGTTATGCTGGAATGTCAATTTTCTGACTGGCTTGAGCTTCTTGGCAAAGGGAACCATGTTTTTGCCAAAATATCCTGGTATTTGTTGAAGTTCATGATTTCCCTTATCATACAATGGCTCCAGGACCAGAAAATGCAAAACAACCCCTCACAGTGGGCAGAGATCTCCAACTGTTGCTCATAAATCCCCTGTTTCTCAGCCAGAGGTGGCAAGATGACACTTGTGTCCTCATCCATGCAGGGCTGACACTGTACCTATAGCCTTTAGCTTTTTCTTGATTGTTTAATAGCCATTCCCCAAACTTGTGGACGTTAACAATCATTTGCATGCAATCTTCTATGACAAGTCTCCAACCTTAACCATGATTCATTCTGCTACTGAATGTATTCCTGTATTACAAACTGTACACTTATACCTCAGGGCAACGGGAAGCTTTTGGAGGCCTCAGTATAGTTCTGTTTTTTTTCATTACACCCTCAATGACAAATGTGACTTTCCTCTGTGCAATCTACTACAATATAGAATAATATTTTTAGAAGTGATTTAATCATGGCATTATTTATACTGCATTATCTAATCCTTAACTCATTTTATGATTTTAAGATGTTTTTTGTTCCCTTTATAAATCCAGAAAGCATAGAGGGCACTATAAATTCAAGATACAGTCAAAACTGAATTGTGCAATTTCATGTAGAACTAAAACATAATTCCAAAATCAGTTTTATTTTAAGTATCAGCTTCAGAAAATGCTTCTTTAACCAAACATTTTGAAAACCATGTACCCTTGCGTTTAAACCCAAAATGTATAAGTACGATTTTCACTTACCTCCACAGACTACACTGCCATCTCCAGGATGCTGAGTCCATTTCTCAACTGTCTCAGTTTCCTCTGTTTGGATATCTCTATCAATATTGTCTTCATTGCATTGGATATATGCCTGTCAAAGAATAGTAAAATAGACCTGAAATTATTCAAACAAAAAAAACTATTACTGCAGCATTGCCATATGATAATATATGTATATGATAAATATGTCCACGAACAGAACTCAACAATAGTTAGGTCAGATATTAGATATTATCAAGCTTTGGTCCCCTGATGATAATATATGAAACAGTGTAACTGATGTACTTGTTTGCTCATTTGTTCTGAAATTCAATGTTACTTTAGAGGTTAATAATATATTATACTACATGGTGTAACAATAAATATTTAGAGAAGATTCTTTGCAGCATTATTACAGACAGCATATTAGCTCCCAAACTTCTCTAAATGTCACTTCTGCTGTGGCTGGCATTGTCTAAGCTTTCACATGAGATGTCATTATTCGAAGGAAATGCTTAACTAACTTCATTTAATATTGTTCCTAAGGCAACTATTTTGTAAGATATATAAATATGACATTTGTACGCATGCACACCTTTACTCTGAGTTAACTAATGCATTAAGATATCAATGACTGCAGGGTAGGCTGTTTAATTCTAAAATGCAGCAAAAGATAAAAAAAAAATGTTTTCGCTGAAATGTATTAGCATCCAAAGTAAAACGTTTTTTACTTTAACCTTTTAATGACCAACAGATTAGTACTAACCTGTTTGGTGTTCGTTGTACCAAAGTTTTTTATGTACATGTCATATTCATTCAAAGGAGGCAAATCCAACAACGAAAAACTGACAGAAAAGTCAAGGTCGATCAGTCGAAGCAACTCTGTGCTGCGTTTTCTGAAACAAAATCAATTGCAAGCTAAGGTTCTGGGAACCAAATGTAATGGACTGAAATATTATTGTCGTGAATGACAAAAAAAAATGCGTTTATGTAAGACTTTATTGATCCCAAATGGAAACTGAGGTGTTACAGCAGCCCAGCCCAAGACAAGCAAAACAGACATCAGAATAGACTAAAATTGAAATAAGTACAGCAATACAAAATAAAATAAATAGAGTTAGGTGTGTGCAAAATATGCTACAGTAACAGTCACTGTAAAACAATAAAATATGTACAAAATGCGCATAGGTATATACAGATTGAAAGTACCACAGTATAAACAGTATATTAATGCAGTGCCCAAAAGTACATGAGTGCAACATGCTGTCCATAGATGAGCAGATGAAGGGCTAACAGGCCTAGCCTAGGGCAGTGTTATACTCCCTGACAGCCACCGGGAGGAAGGACCTGTGGTAACGTTCCCTTGAACACCGTAGCTGGAGCAGTGCTATCTAATAACAGTCCCATGTAGCGGATGAGAGGCGTTGTTCATGATGGCCGTGAACTTGGCCAGCATTCTCCTCTCCACCACCACCTCCCGAGCCAGCCTTCTTCATGAGTTTATTGAGTCTATTTACATCTCTTGTCATGATGCCGCTGCCCCAGCACACCACAGCTTAGAAGATGGCCGCTGCCACCACTGATTCATAAAAATTGTGTAGCAGTGTTCCACACACACCAAAGGCCTTGAGCCTCCTAAGGAAATAGAGTCGGCTCTGACCCATCATGCAAGAGTCAGGAAAATAATGTAAAACAGAAATTTTGTTGTCCTACTTTTGACTATTTTTAGGAAAAAATATAAAGAACTGGCTCTGATATTTGCTCTTTTGTTTTGCTGATCATTCTTCTAAATCTCTGAAGCACACTGACCAAATTTTCATTGGATAATAAAAATCTCAATAAAACCAACAGAATTTTCAAAGATGCAAGTGAAGCTTGCATCACATTCAAAATTCAATTGAATTTAGAAGAAAGGTGATCAGAATACTGTAATCCATGTAATATAAAGAAAAGTTCAAATATATTAACAATCCACTTGTGACTTCAACACATATTAACTAAATAAAAAGCTCCAATAGTCTTTCAGAACATCCTTATCATCTTGATGATGTCAGAAGTATGTACCTGATCAAAAAACATACACAGTGTTCTGATACTTTCAATCAAATGATTATTTTTATAAACTATATGTAACTATATGTAAATGGCTAAACCATTACACATTAATCATACTGTACCCTTTTCCAAATTTCATTCACTATTTACACAGAGACTTTTAAAAATGTCACCAGGCTAAGAGCTTGTGCCAGATGTCTTAAAATCAACGAGTTTTATTATTGAAATCCTATAAACACAGTAAATTAAAGGTGTTTTTCCCAGATTGGTCCCAGACACTACGAGTTTAACATATTTTTAGATGTTTAACTTACTTTTGCTTACAGGCTACATTCTTGCTCACTTCCCGTTGCTTTGCTGCCACAAAGTCTATAAATCTTCCTTGATGAGTGCCTTTGCTGGGAGAACTCTCAGAACCTGTGACAGCGGGAAGCTTTTTAAACGACAATATTCTACCAAATGTTATTCTGTGAATTAGGCGTGCCAAACAACAACACAGACCCCCCAAAACATATATCAAAACTACTACTGCAGGACATGCTGTTCCATCAACAGTGATTGTGAAATGAGAAGAGATATTTGTCTTATTGGTAGAGCTACTCATTCACCAAATCTATGCTTTATGAAACTTGCATTTTGAAGTTGCCTGCAAATTCAATTGCTGATTCTAAGATTTGAATTCAATCTCTAGCAAGAATTTAGCTTTAATTACCTTCACTGAACCTCATTGTTTAGCATTTTAACAGTATTGATGTGGTGATGTATGACAGCAGTGAAAGGAAAGAAGATAAACTACTGTTGCCCTTACCCCAATTGGATTTGTTGTTCTCTACCGTGCTAGGATGTATAGTACCAATCCTTTCATTTTCTGCAGATATAGCTTTTTGGATTGCCTCAATTTCGGCCCTGTTATGTGGGGTGAATTCTTCCTTTTCATGAACGTCTTCATTAGTGTCCGATTTGTTACCTTCATCATTCTCATCAACATCCTCAAAATCATCATCGTAGTCCTTTAGGAGCAAAATATTACACTCAAGTTATGCCACCAAAAGCATTTGTTTCATTTTTAATACCTCTCAGTATATATATATATAAGAAAGATCAGTCACAACATAAGGGCAACTTTCAGATTCTTTCAGCTATGCTTATGCCAATGATAGTGGGTAGAAGACTGAGAACCTGAGAAATGATGATTATATCTTTCTGAATGAAGGAAAGTACAAAAAGCATTTTTTTGCAATTTTATCCCCAATGTAATACCTTAACATCCAGCACATCTTTCATGTAAGATAACAAAATACTTAAAGAACCTGTTTGCATAATGTGTTAATGAAGTGAATTATTACTTCTTAAAACAAACCAAAACTAATCAGATTTAACAACAAAGCAAGATCTCAGCTTTTGAATCTTTTTTGCATGACTATTCCTAAAGGTGTGTAAAACTTGTAAATGAATCACTTACCCCTTTCTTCAATAAAGATCCATTTAAAGCATGCAAAATATCATTACAAAACAGAAATCAAATAGGATAAAACAAAAACTGAAGTTAAACCACAATACATAGCCTTGCCTTAATAATGGAGCCATTTTACACATTGCTTTTAAGATCTTCACTTACTTCAAAGTCCTCTTCATAATCTTCTGCTGTTTCCTCGTTAATCACATCCTCTGCAGATGATTTATCAAGGACAAATTGTTCTTTATCATCCTAACAAACATTTAAAAAAAATACACAGGAAAATCAGTCATATGAAATAATGCAATTCCTTTAAAATGTATGCAACTTTGGACAAACAAACAAGTAAAATCCTTAAAGTTTATTAAAAAGAAATAAAAAATACTTTATTAACTTTGTTAATGCAATTTCTTGTAAGGGATTTTATTGTGAATTCCTGGAAAAAATACGGAAGCTTTACCTAAAGAAACATGACATCTAGTGGCCACACAACTTTTGTCAAAATCTTGACTATGCAACGTAAGGAGAATTTTACAGTAATAATATAACACAATAAACAATCTAAAAATAACAAATGTTTGATCATCTGGTGCAGACTGGCAGCAACCTTACTGCTCAGTGATACACCGGTGAAGTCTTCGAGCCAAAAGATTTTGCATTCCAGCAAGTCAACTTAGAAGAGTTGGTCTTGCAGCAGGGCAGGCAATGTAAGATCACACAGTGCTAAGATTACAATGGCATGGCTTCAAGTCCAGTTAATGTCCAGTGGAACATCTATAATACCAACCTAACAATCAATAGGAGATAACTGTGACCAGCCTACCTATACCAGTTGCCAGCAGCTGCACAAGAACAGTGGTGGAAACACCCACAAGAGTCACTCCAGAGACCAATCAGGAATATATACTGTATATCAATGCTGCCAGGATCGTGTTGATGCTCAGGGATCTCATACTTGAATTTAAAAATGCAGCATTTTGTTGCATTTCAAATTGAAAATATAATATTTAAATGAACGTGCTATACGATCTAAATTTTCTGTGATTGTGTTTAAGCTCTATTTTAAAAATAATTAGACTTGGGCATTATGTTTCTTTTATGTATACAAACACAAATAGTATAAATATATTTAAATATTATTTATACTACATATTATCAATATATAAAAAAAATAAATTCTCTAAATTATTCAATATTTATAGCACAGATTAAAGCAAGTTTCATATTATGAATTTAACTTACATGTGTATATTAACAGAATTACATTGGCAATCCTAAATTAATTATGTGAAGTAGCATCTCATTAAAATGTTTCTTACAGGCTTCTCTGTATCGCTTGATCTTTTCTGATTAGTCCTGTGTGCTGATAATGAGGCCCGTGTGGACTGCTGATGCATTCATTCATGGGAAAATGACAGATTGTTGACAAATTATGTTCTGCCTAAATACTTCTACTGAGCTTAATCAAAAGGCAGGAAAAACAAGAAGAAAAATGTCGCAGACAAAATAGAATTGATCTTTAAAAATTAACAAAACAAAACTATTACTTTTAAACATATATACAACACTCACTTCACCGACTTTTGTCTCTTTCCTCTCTCTCTGTGGCTTGATATTTTCTACTCCGCCCAGGAGCGATTTCTCTTTTCTAGGCAGTGTCTTGTCTTGATGGAGCTCATCCGCAGAAATTCGGGCTTTATGGCTTTCCAGGCCTCCGTTTTTTCCCTCTCGGTGGCTCCTCTCCCCGTGGTTATCCCTCTTTTCTTTTTTTCCCCTCCTCCGTTCTCGATCGTCCGGCAGCTGCCGGTCCTCCTCCTTCCGTTCCCGACGCCTGTGCTCTCCCTCTCCGGCTCTGGAATCTCGACGGTGTCTCCGGCTCTCTCCCGGCCCCTAATGCCCCCCCAGTCACAGGAAAGGATGGCAAAGAAAAGTACGAGTCAGGAGCCAAATAAAAAGCTACAGGCCAGGGTCCTTGAAGTCTTTGAAGAACACCGGTTGTTCATCATCTTCATTAAATATAACAAAATAAACTTGAATTACTTGACAAATTAGGCCTAATTTTCCTGTAGGCCTGAAGCAGACGATCACTTAGAGACTCATGAAATCCACTGGACTGTGGACTGGAATTGAAGCAAAGTGCTGAAGGCCAGTCCATCCCTTTGAATACATTTATTTCTCCTTCTAAAAGGAAATTGTTTTTTTTTTCATTAAATAAGATAAATGTTCATCTTTTTATATTTATTCAGTTCATTTATTCTTTTCTCCTTCTGCTTTTTATGTTTTTTTCTACTTTTAAAGAATCTAAGGCAGCAGCAGTAGAACAGCACTGCACTGTATTAGACAATCACTTATTTTGATGGAAAGATCGATTTATTGTGACACACACCAAAGGGCACCAATGTATTGTTTTGGGCCAAGGTAAAATCATTATAACTGATTACTGATCATCAAAACATCACTACTACCATTATTGTAATGCCACATCAGCTTTGCTGTAATACTCACATCATATTATTAAAAGATGCATGAATATGCTAGTAAATGCTGTGCTCAATGGTAATGACTTGTTTCATTTAGAACATCAAAAGTCGTCTGCAAAATATATGCCAAGTGTTTTTCAGAATACAAAGACTTACACAGCAGCTTATAAGAAAACTACTATTGTTCACAGTGCAGCAAAATGTTAAAAATCAGCCGCTGGTTTCTAAATATATCAAGCCTAAGCTCAGAAAGATAGAACTCATTTTGTTCGTGTTATATACAGTATTTGTCCTGTGGTTACGTACTTCTAGTGCACTTTTCTTTGAGTGTTCCCCTCTGTCTCGATGTCTCCTTTCACGTTCTTCATTTTCATTTCTTTGTTGTTCTGCAGATTCTACAAACAGATCAGCATCAAGAACATCAACCATATTATATCATACTGAAATTAAATCTGAAGGATGAAGAACACAAATCAGATTGTAAAATGAATCTGAATTTTCACTGACAATTAACATCTGATTTTTTTGAAGACTTGGTCGGGGGTAGACACCTGCAGTCACCGAATAATAGTATTAACCAATAAAGGATTATGCTCTGTACAAAAAAGAAATTTGCATAGAACATTTAGAGAAAACTGCAACCAAATAATATCTTTATTTTTGACTGCAGATACATATACTGAATATGTATATCTAGATGTAGAAAAAAAAATAATGAGCATGGAATCACAAGTATACTCTATATAGGTCACTTAATGGATATTTCTAATATAACAGTATTTGTCCCAAGGTAACCTAGTGATACCGTTACCATGTGCCCACAGTAAGCTGGACTAATTATACTGAATTTTTACTCATTTTATTTTAAAACACCAACAGCTTTTATTTGGGCTCCGGCAAATATCAAGGGTGCCACAACCGTATCAGTATAAAGCAGAATACATCTTTTTGAAAAGGAACACAATAGTTTACGTTCAGCATTACCTTTATTTTCTCTTTGTCTTGAAGGATCTTGGTCCTTATGTTGTTCTTTTCTTCCATCGTCTCTCTTCGTGTCCTCCTCCAAGTCTCTTTCTTTCTTCTGCTGCCTGTCCTTTTCTTTTCTCCTCTCGGGATCATGCTCCTTCTCTCTGCTGAGATGCCGTCCATGCTCCCTGTCCCTTTCCTTCTCTTTGCTTCTATGCTTTTCTCTCTCCCTCTCCTTTATTTGATCCTGGTGTCTCCCTTCTCTCTCTGCCTCCCACTCTTGTCTCTCTCCGGGCCTTTCTTTCCCTCGCTCCCTGTCTCTTTCTGCTTTTCTCCTTTCCCTGTCTCTCTCCTTGTCTCTGCTCTCCCTTAGTGTCCCTCGGTCTCTGTCACTGTGACTTCTGTCCTTGATTTCGCTTTCCCCGTCTTTGTTTCTGCTTCTTTCTGCGTCTCCACCCCTTTCTCTCTCTTTTCTTCTGCCCTGGTCTCTCTCTCGTCTTTCTGACGTCCTGTTTCTTTCACTCTCTTTTCTTCGCTCTTGATCTCTTTCCTTCGGTCGCTCTCGAGTCCTGTCTCTGTGTCTCTCTTCCTCCCTGTGTCCTCGACTCTCCCGATCTCTGTGACGCCGCTCCTGAGACTCCCCACTACTGCTCTTCATCTGCTCTTCATCTCGCCTGGATTTCTCTTTCCTCCTGTCATTGTCATTATCATTAAGCACACCCTGAAACAGTTCATATATCAGCATTATATTTACAGCAAAACAACATTCCACGGATCATTAGACACCATTACAAACGTCCATAATTTTGGATTTCTAGGTATATTAATGTGTGACTGCTAAAGTTATTTTCTCCTTTAGTAACCACACTGTAGACTTCTTAAGCAGTCAGAACGAAGGCATTATGGCAAAGCAAAGAAAATATATATTCTCGAGATGAAAAAAAAAATGCCACTAAAAATGTCAAGAGTGGCAACACTCATTACTCTATCAATTCATTTCACAAGTCTATTAAATGTATTCTGATGTGGTCTGTATAATGTTTAACATATTACAGCATAGAAAAGGATGGCATAGCATGTGGAGAGGTTTCAATATTGGACACTTTTAATATTTAAAACATTTACTGGCATTTGGTTATTGCTACCCTACATCTAATTACTGATTGTTTTTATTTTTCATTTTTTTAAATTAAGATCCCCCTTCTCATTTATTACATATACTCAATACAGTAATTTGTCATATAAATAGGAAATAAAAAACTAAACAAAAAATCTTACTTTAATATGTCTCTTTAAATCATCTGATTTCCATGTGTCTTCCTTTGTCCTTTTCTAGATAAATAAAAATAATCATATTGGATGCACTGTATAAAAATATATGCACAATTAAGAAAAAAGAATAATTGGATGTATACCTATAGTGTTGATAAGTGTTTTCCGTTTAAAGGGTTCTCATTAGTTTCTCACTTTTAATCAAGGCCTCATAGCATTCATTGTACTGCTCAAAGTAAAATGCTCTGTGGTGTGGCTTCTTATGCAAAATATATAGATTTTACAGTTACAGATTAATGTTTTTTAAAGTTTGTATGAAACAATAATTAACAGTTTTATGACACCCCAAAACAAAAGTATCCTCTTATTCAGTATAGCAACTATGCAACAGCTTCAAACCAAACTGTTCATTGTGGACAAATGTGATCTAGGATTATGATGGTAGCTATTTTGATTTTTTTTTTATTAACAAATTGAAGCTGTTTTCAAATTTTAGGCTACTTGGAACATGATTCGAGATCCCTAGTCTGCACTAAAGTTTAAGCTTTCAAATTAAAGTTAAAATCAGGTTGCTCTAAATCAAACTTATACATTTTCATTTTCCTAATGGGAACCCATTCGAACTCAAGGCAAATGACAAAGTTAATTAAGAGTCAAAAACAGTTTATTCAATCTAGTGCAAATGCAAGATACAGTATCGTATACTCCACAGTTTTTTTAATATGCTGTGACAGCAACTTTATTCTTCATTGTCACTATTCAACACTTTACCTTTTCCGACTGCATTTTTTTCTTTTCTCACCCTGCACTCCCCTAGTTTAGTAGTCCTCTTAATTGAATGTTATATGTTGACAAAATCCACCGCCATGACACCAAATTCCTCTTTTGCGCAGGCGCACTACTATGAAACCAAGGTAACTGCGTCATGTTATCTTAGCGACAGGACATGAAACCAAACCAGGAGCAACAGATTCACTCCACAACGGATCTCTATGGTCACAGACCAAATTCATCGACAAACCGTCAATCGATAGTGAAATATACTGGCTACTTAACCCTCTGTTATTTTAATGTGCTTTGCACATAACACTTTATTCAGCTCTCACGTTATTTTGCAGTAAAATAAATATTTCGTTTTTAATATATTTACATTCATTTTTTATTATTAATAATAGTAAATTAAAAATATATCCTACCACTCATTTGCTGCTTTTAATTATGTTTTTAAAGGCTTGGATACGAGGCAGTTTATACAGTTTAAAGGAAATAATTTAATGCAAATAATATCAACATCACAGATGACGTATTTACACATTTAAGCATTTGAACTTTAACATTTCAGCATTTTCAGTATCTACAGTATGTGTTACTGTTCTGTTGTTTATTTTGCTTGTGGGCAAACTGCATACTCCGAACATCAACAACAAAAAAAACTGGAGTATGCTTAGGAACCACAGACTCACGGCTGCTTTTATGCATTTTTAGTTATTTATGCAATACAATGCAGATTTGTCCACTACCTTTAGATCAGAACATTTCTCAAGGCACTATACATGAGCCAACTCAGATAGTGTTTCAGATGAGAAGTGTTTGAAACAGAAACAGATTGACTGTTTCTGTTGTAAACCCTAAAACAGAAACAAGGGCTCACTGATATTATAGGAAGGAAAGTTTCACAAGTAGGTAGCTTGAAAGTTAAATATTTTTTATATTTGAGACCATGAATAACAATGATGTGTCCCATCGGGAGGCACCCTGGCAAGAGATCTTCTGAGAAAAGCTCAGAAGAATGACTTGATTTCATTTCCCAACATGGGACAAAGGTTGATGAACTGTCACTTGCTCTTTATAAAGTGTACAAAAAATATACTTTCTGGTTGACAAAAAAAACTGCATAGGATATTAAGCCAATAAATGTGAACAGGCATATGGATTTTTTTACTCTTTTAAGCATCTGTAATATAATATTTTTAAACAGTAGTTATTCTTTTTACTCAAGATACTGTAGTTCCTTACTCAAGTAACTTCTCCAGTACCGTTCTTGGCTCACTGAAAGACTTCATTTACTATACTGATTTTAAAAAATCGTGTTTACAAATTGATTAGTTAAAGATGATTTACATGACTTATTATTATCCCAGTCAGGGGTTGGTTGATCTTTAAGAACACGTTACCACCATTACAATATATTTTATTTTTTACTAATATCCGTCCAGTCTGAACTTCTATAAATACATTTAATTGAATTTGACCAAAATTACTCTTTATATGGATACATAGGTTTGAGATCGCGTTTCCTGGATACCTTCTTTCGCTGACTTTTTTGATTGTTTTATTTGTTGTTGTTTTCAGCGTACATTAAAATAAAAATCCGGACTGAAGGGGGTGGCCGCCAGGTGGCTCCTTCGGTCTTGTTTTTTTTTTTTCCAGCAGGTTTGACCTATTTGAGCAATGACAATTTCCTGTTGGAAATGGGAGCAGGGGGTTGAGTTGCGAATGTGTGGACAGTCTGTGTGATCAGCGCAGTTTTCAGGATGTGGTGAGAGAGGGAGGTACGGTCTCTTCCCAGCTGAGAAAGGAGGGAGTTTGACATACGCCATGCAGCACAAACCTCGCGTTTCCGAACTGAAGGATTACTGATGCCACACACGGAAACCAGAGGGAGCCCAGCAAACGACAGCTGACAGAAGTAGCTCAACACAGCCCCCTTTTACAGGGGGCAAGCAAGGGAAGGCACTGCTGTGGAGGCATCTGCAAAGTGTTTGGATCAATCGATGTAACCTTAACCAAGAGGAAAGGTTTACCAGGAAAGTAATTATGGCAGCGTCCGAGCTCTTATCTGGCCGCAACTAATTTAAAACAGGAAAAAAAAAACGTGGGTGTTTCAAAGTGTTTTGTAGTCGGGGGGAAGGCAACGCCGCCAACAGTGTAGAATACTTTTGCGATTGTTTTCTTGTGAGCAGCTGGTTTTGAAACTTTTTGGAAAGGGGCTGGAGATGAGTGGCGAAACCACAAACAACGCGCCGCACGACGCAGGAAAAGAGGGGCAAAGCGAAGCCACCAGCCCGGCGGACTCCGCACCGGGAGCCCCGGTGGAGGGTGCCGAGGAGCCGCAGTCCACCGCCGTAGATCTTACGCAGGCGTTGTCGGGGTTCGCCAAGACGTTTGTCATCATTTTTCCCATCTACGTCTTGGGGTATTTCGGGTTCAGCTTCAGCTGGGTGCTGATCGGACTGGCGGCGTTCTTCTGGTGGAGGAGAAATAAAGGAAGTAAATATTCCCGACTTAACCGGGCTTTGGCTTTCTTGGAGCACGAAGAGAAGACTGTTAGGCAGAGTCTGCCAACTTCTGAGTTACCACCATGGGTGAGTGACCTTTCACTGTGTTTGTTAGGTGGACGTATCAATGCTCAGCACTGTGGGTTCTGAACAGTTGGGTGACCAAGTTTACTTAAAAGATGGTTTTGATTTCGTCTCCATCATTCATTTTTTTTTTACATTGACAGCCCCATGTCAAAGTGTTGTTTTCCAGAAATGTGTTGACATTCAAAAGCTTGTCACGCGTTGAAAGTAATGTACTGTACTCTAGGCTCCTAATATAGCTTTCCCACGCATGCAGGTACTATATAATATCGATAGGAATATTAAATTGGCATAGCTTTGGATGCCCCAGTTGCTAGTTTTGTGGTTTGTGAAATGACCTTAGCCATTTGGACTCAATTTCGAAAATGTTACATTGATCCTTCAGTGGAAAGATAAATGGTCTCTTTGAAATGTTCACTCTTTTGTATAAACAATTGTAATGATGCTGAAAGTACAGTAAGGCAGCCTCAGATTGTCAAAACAAATATGCAGTGTTTTTAATCTATCTCGACCGTGTTGTCATCAGCTGTAGGCATGTACTGTATCACGAACAAAACAGTGATCCTTAATTAAAAAAAAAAAATTGTGGAAATCAGGACTTCAAGGTCATTTTTTTAAACGGCTCATGAGGAGTATTCTCGGTTTTTGTTGACTTTTGTCTTCAGCGCCTCACGTACCGTATACTCAAAATGTTCAGATCCTCAAACCTCGTTTTGCCTGTTGTATTTGACTGTGTAGCACGTTGTAAGACTGATTGTCAAAACATTATGCAGTTAAACCACGACTGACAACACTTAACAATGTGAGAGGAAAGAGTTGTTTCGTCGCCCCATGCATGGTCTAAGTAAGGTATACGCTTTGGATGCTGACCCTGAGGCAGAATTTAGGTTTGTTAAGTTTGATTCAGCATTCGTGCGTGTAGGTTTTACATGACCAACACAAACCAAGATGATGTACTGTAACAATGGTTTGTTTTTCTCTTTCAAATTCCCTCAAACTATTTTAGAATATATCAAATTTGGTGACTTACAATCGAAAGGGACAGAGAAGAGTTCCTTCCCGATCAGGCCTGAAGTGTGAAAATGTTCACAAAACTTTGGAAATGGTGCGAGTATTTGCCGTGAATGGTGAACGTTCTCACCTGAATTACTCTGGTCCTACAGATCAGCACTGCTTGTTCTGAATTATACCTGCATCCTAGTTTATGGTGCATTTGCAAACTTCATTAATAACATTTCTAAATGTGTGCTGAACCACACATCTGAAAGTATGGTTAGTAAATTACAACATATTTTAGTAGAATACACAACTTGTGACTTACAGTACAATTGTTTTGGATGTTTGTTTTTTTTTCCCCAAAATGTGCTGGGTGTTTCAAGATTTTAATCCAATCATGTGACCACAATTTTAACTCCTTTTCTGTCTTGTCCACCTATTTCTTCCTTGAAAATTGGGTGCATTAAAAAAAACAACCTTGGCCAGCAGTGAAATGCAGGCTGTGCTCTGGGTGTCAAGGATTTCAGAAGTAGGTCAGAGGTTTGCCTACAGTATATTGCTCTGGCCACTAAGTTTTAATTTGGCAATGCAATGAGACTGTATTTTTTGCTTAGCTAAAAATAACCATGCAAATCATATGACCTGTGTGACAGTGTCCTCCTGGGTTTATTCTTATCACTGTTTAGAGTTCTACTGTATTTACACTGATCTTCAAAAGACCATGTCTAAATGATAGGTCAGTTAACTTTCCAACCCCAAACTCGCAGTTATTGATTTCAGCATTTAAGTTTCGTTAACACATTTTTGGCTTGTTTTAGTGATCTGTGGAATAGAAGAAATTTCAGATTTCCTTAAACCAACCAATGGAAAACATACCAAAGTATTTGAAACAACCTTAAGACATTTTAAAGTGATTATTGCTTGCTTAACATTCAGTTTTCTGTGGTCTACTTTTTATACGAGATTTTTTTTATTTTTGTATCTGTTCAGCTGTTATTCAACTACTGAGTGCTGCTACTTTTAGTAAGAAGAATAATTTATAAAATGTTATCAGGTTACCTAAGTCAGTGTTTTCAACAGTGTCCTTTTCTGTTACTGTATCTGAACAAAACATTTTATTGACAGGTGTACTGTAAATGGATGTATACACTATTTGTACATCCATTTGTACATATATTATACAGTATACAGCACCTTGACAAGGCATAAAAAAGGTCACAGTCCAGGTACTGTAACTGTAAGGTAATTTCAATACTTTTTTCCTTAACTGTCTTCACCTAACTTTCTTTAACTGTCACAACTTTCTTTGTATCTAGATTTATTTTTGTTCTGTTCTTTATCATGTCTGAAGTAAGGTTCGGCATTCTGAATACAAATAGAAATGTTCTTTTCCCATAGTTCTGAATATTAATAGATGTTGGGAGTCTGTATTTTTAAAAAATATATTTCCTTTTTGATGTCACTGTCAGAAAATGTTTTGCAGCCTGCCTGTTAGAAATTCCAATTTGTGGTCTCCATTTGTCCAGAACTTGTTTTGTAGGCTGTCTTCTTATCAAGTACTGTAGTCGAACCTTGTTTGAAGTCTTGTAGAGTACCAGAAAGAAAGTGGTGTTTTGCACATAAAGTATATATTTTTTTCATTATAACTAGTGAATTGTGGTTTTCCTTTTCTGATAAATATGCATTTTGTGCAATCAACACATTGAATTTCACAACATTTTGAAAAGTGGATACCTTCTCCTTTCAAATGTTCATACATTTTTATGAACATAAGGCTGTTTTATTTCAGTTTTCTAAACACCAAAATTAGTTGTACTTCTGACTTAAAAAGCACACATATATCGCTTTCTGCAGAATAAGGATTGTCCTTTCATAAACCATCATTGCTGCTTCAGTGTGATTGTCATGATCATACAGTATGTAGGCCTTAGTGTCGTGGGCTTCTAATAGATACCTACAGTACATATGCATAATATATTGTCCAACAACATGATTTATTTTCTTATTTCTTAGAAGAGTGTGGTTGTTGTTAATGCTATTATCGGAAACTGAATAGATGGCTCACGGACTTAAGCTGCCTGAATCAGACCAGTGCGAGAAGCGATTTGCAGTGTCCATGCAGCTGTCCACTGAAGCAGTATTAGACTAAGCACCTTCCAAATACAGCTTCAAACAATAGAGGCTCTGGTTTAAATTAGGCTCCATGAAGACATGCCTTGAATAACCTGCTCTGTTATTTTAAGCCTAAAAGTGGTGACCCAGTCCATTTATGAGGGAAAGGAGTACATTACATGTGGACCATACTTTGACTTATTCAGTGTAACACAATTTACCCAACAAATTAGGTTGTGTTATTCGCCACACATAGTTTGCTAAAGTATATTTTACTCAAACATCAAAGGTCTTTATGAGCAGTAGTTGTCTTCTGTATTAACCAATGGTAACATTCAGTAGTCTTTTGTTTTCAAAGACCACTGAATGTTACCATTGGTTCTTGCCAGTGCTTTGATTGTTTCAGATAAGTCGGTTTGCATTGCAAAGCTTTCTTTCACACAGTTCTTGAAGTGATAGAGTGTCTTGCCTCCCCTTTCTTCCACCTCCACCAAGATCCTTGATTTTTGTTTTGTCTCGCTCATAAATTGAGTAGAATACTTTGTATAGGTTTTTGTAATGACTCATGTTTAATGTGAGAAGAACTGCCCAGTTTTTAAAGTACCAAGGCTATATGCCATTGATCTGGTGGAACACTGTGCTTGCTGGTTTTCATTTCAAATGAATTTTCAGCTCCAGCAGCCATATCACCCTGCAACTCACAACTGGCAACCCACTGAAGCTCAGCAGGTGTGAGCCTGGTCAGTACCTGGATGGGAGACCTCCTGGGAAAAACTAAGGCTGCTGCTGGAAGTGTTAGTGGGGCCAGGAGGAGGCACTCAACATGCAGTCTGTGTGGGTCCTAATGCCGCAATATAATGACAGGGAGACTATGCTGTAAATAAGGTGCCATCCTTCATGTGAGGCATAAAACCGAGGTCCTGACTCTCTGTGGTCATTACAAATCCCAGCGCGTTTCTGGAAAAGAGTAGGGGTGTTACTCCGGTGTTGTGTTCAAATTTCCTATGGGCCTTACCAATCCTATGGCCTCCTAATTATCCCCCTCTATGAATTGGCTTCATCACTCTGCTCTCCTCCCCACTGATAGCTGGTGTGTGGTGAGCGTACTGGCGCACTAGGGCTGTCGTCGCATCATCCAGGTGGATGCTGCACATTAATGGTGGTAGAGGGGAGTCCCCGTTTACTATAAAATTCTTTTCCCTCTCAAGAAAAGGCTGGAGGAGATTGTTGGATCAATTAGCTACTAACAGTCTAATTAAATAAATAGATAAATAATACTAGCCTCTTCTGCACCCTTACTTGTGTTTCTGTGTACTTTACATGTGATGGATATGTCCATTGAGATTTTATAGGGTAACCATGTATTGTTTTTGTAACGGTGATGTTTTTGAATGGTGATGTTCAGTTTTGGCATGCAGTTAAATCTACCTACTGTTTTTAAGAAATTAAGTCATTATCTAGATATGATCACTAATGTTTTCTTTCCTGTTGTCAAGAATAAGGAATCATGTTGCAGCCTGTTGGCATCTTAGAAAGGTACTGTACAAGTAAAACAATATTTGCTGCATTTGTTATGAATGCATGTGAATTAGCAGCATTCAGGCAAACAGGGCCAGTCAGCACCTTTCTTTTTGTGACTGGCTGCTAGAGAAACTGTAATAGGATTGTCCTGGTGTTTCCAAGAAGGGCGCCCTAATTAAATTTGATGGGAAATGATATGTCAGCAGTTAAAGGAAGGAGTTTCAGGTAAATTATAAAGGAAACCAGCAGGTCTCTTGGGATCCTCCATTCAGCACAGTAAGTGGTCAAATAATGAAGTTTACTGCCCAGTCATTTTTGTTCATCTTGGTTAAGGTTTAATTTAAGTTTATTTTTCTAACATGATATATGAGATC